GTGTGTGTGTGTGTGTGTGTGTGTGTGTGTGTTATTAAACCACAGAGGACAGACTGGTTTCTATTTCACACCTGCAGCAGGTGAGATAGGTTGAGAGTCAATGATGTCACACCTCCTCCTCCTTCTTCTTCTGTTGGAGGATAAAAGGCGGCGTCAGGTATCAGGTGTGTCTGTCAGGAGGTGTGAACGAGACAACGGGGGGGAACAAGGAGGAAGGGGACGAGAGGATAGAAGTGGAGGGACCAGAGGAGAGGTGGGCCCAGTTCCAACGTCCCCCTGAACCCTCAGACCCTGAACCCTCAGACCCTAAACCCTCTGAACCCGCAGACCCTAAGCCCTCAGACCCTGAACCCTCAGACCCCGAACCCTCAGACTTGTACTTGTACTTGTCGTACTGCGATACTTTATACTTCTACTACAGTACAGTACTGAGGTGTACTTGTCGTACCGTGATACTTTATACTTCTACTACAGTACAGTACTGAGGTGTACTTGTCGTACTGCGATACTTTATACTTCTACTACAGTACAGTACTGAGGTGTACTTGTCGTACCGTGATACTTTATACTTCTACTACAGTACAGTACTGAGGTGTACTTGTCGTACCGTGATACTTTATACTTGTACTACAGGACAGTACTGAGGTGTACTTGTCGTACCGTGATACTTTATACTTGTACTACAGGACAGTACTGAGGTGTACTTGTCGTACTGTAATACTTTATACTTGTACAGGTAGGACCCTGATCCCCGTGTGACCTCCTCTTCCTGTGAGCTCCTCCCTCCCTCACTTCCTGTGCGTCTCTTCCCTTTGAATCCTGGCCTCTGATTGGCCGCTCGGACCCGTTGCCACATTCCAGCCGCAGACAGGAAGTGATGGGCAGTCGTTTCCTACGTTTCCCATGATGCCTTTCAGCATGGAGACGTTCAGTCTGTGCAGCCGGAAAATAAGTTCAAGACATATTTAATGTTATTGATGATTCAATAATGATGAACCTTTATATGAATAATAATAACATTAATGTTACTACTGACATGAAAACATGACGGCATGATGACGGCTGTCTGCTCTAGTTTCCTGTTTTGACAATCAATAGAAATGATGTCATCAGGAGAAGAATCATGACATCAGGACAGACAGACAGAGAGACAGACAGACAGACAGACAGAGAGAGAGAGAGACAGACAGATAGATAGAGACAGACAGAGAGACAGGCAGACAGACAGACAGAGAGAGAGACAGGCAGACAGACAGACAGAGAGAGAGACAGACAGGCAGACAGACGGCTGCTGTAGTTCTGAGCTTGTTTACACATCGACCTCAAACTCATGTCTCCTGTTTCCTCCTCTGATCCTCCGACATCTGGGACAAGTTAAAGAAGGAATGAAGGAATGAAGGCAGAGAGACAGGTGGAGAGAGAGACAGGCGGAGAGGGAGAAACAGAGAGAGACAGAGAGACAGAGATTGATTTATTTCTAAATCAATTTTGTTTACAGAGTTTTACAGTTTATCAAAAACAAACTTAATTCATGCAAAAAAACAACCAAAAAAACAAAAACTAAAGAAAAACACAAATCATAAGTTGAGAACCAGAGCACTGTCTGTGACTGAACACAGAACGTCGTTTAGAGTCCAAATGTTTTCTTTGTCAGTCTGTAGAAGCCAAACTCCACCCTGAGCCGAGCAGCCAGCAGCCCCGTCAGCATCAAGCTCACGTCCTCTGACCCTTCACCCCTCACACGGTTTTTCCTTGTTTTCCAAATTGCTAGTTTGGCCAGTCCTGAAAGGAAATTCATTAGTGTGTGGACAGATTTGTTTTTAGCAGAGTAGTTTGGTTCATAGATAAAAAGACAGAAAGAAAAGTGTTCTCCTAAGCCCTGAAACCACGCCTTCAGGCGGCTGAAGAGTCTCACCAGTCTGGAGCACTCAACGAACAGATGGTGGACGGTTTCTGTCAACGAGCAGAAAGGACAGCTGTCCCCTGAGCCAGGATCCAGGTGCACCAGATACCTGTTTGTAGCTATGGCCCCATGTAAAATCCTCCACTGGAGGTCTCCTGTCCGTTTGTCTACAGGGGGTTTGTACAGGGACCGCCAACAGCCCCTTGGGGAGGATCCCCTGCAAAAAAACTCGGTCCACCTCGACACCCTCACTCCTGCCAGAGAGCGCAAGTTAGAGACCTTCACACTGACCTGATACGCTGCTTTCCTCCCCAGAGTCTCAAAGTCCCCCAACTGGGGTGTCTTTAGAGACAGCAGGATGTCCTCCTCATCCTCCCACTGTCCCACAGCAGGACAGACAGCCAGGGGTGGGAAGACATACTCACATTCATCGTCCCATTGGTCAGATAGTGTACGGTCTCCAACAAACGCTCTGAGGACTTCTGGTAGGGAAGCACAGACCTCCTCCACCAGCCTGAGCAGCAGCCTGCTGGACCGGATGTTGATCAGCTCCGCTAGTTGAGGGACGGAGGTCTTCATCAGATGACCCAGCTTCACACAGCCAGCCTCTCTCAGTCTGGATCTCAGGCTGACGGACGTCAGGACCTGGGATGTGAAGTAGCTGCTTCCAAAAAGCGGCTCCTCAAAGAGCCACATCCCTGGTGTCGTCACAGCTCTCCGATGGACTGTAAAAACCTGCCACGCCTGTAAGACGGACTGATAGAACGGTGTCAGACCAGTTAAATCCACTGACTGGGGCTGGAGCAGGAACAGGTGTTTGTCATAACATAAGCGTCCGGCCCTCCTCAGCAGCACACAGGCAGTATCAGTCCATGGCAGGCCGAAGCTGTACAGCAGTCTCTGAGCTGTCTGCAGTCTGAAGGCTGTGATTTGTGATGCGATGTCCACCAGGCCCTGCCCTCCCTCCTGGACCGGCAGGTACAGCACCGCAGATCTCAGCCAGTGAAGCCCTGACCAGAAGAAGTCCACAACTGCCCTCTGGATGTCTTTAATCAGGCCCTGTGGTGGAGGTAGGACTACCAGTCTGTACCAAAGGGTCGAGGCAACCAAGTTCTTGACAATTAGGACCAGCATTTCCATTTAGACAATCTGGTACACACTCTCTCCATAGCACCCTCCCAGTTCTGTCTTTGAAACTCTTCTGTTCCCAAAAAACACCCAAAACCTTCAAGCCCTGCCTTCCCCATCTGATGCTTCCTGGTAGCTTTGGTGTTTCTTTGTCTGCCCACTGCCCAACCTGCAAAGCTTCACTTTTCTCCCAGTTTACCTTTGCTGAAGATGCCCTCTCAAACAAATCTAAACTGTTACCTAGGAACTGGATATCACTCTGGTCTTTGACGAACACATAAATATCATCAGCATATGCTGACACCACCAGCGAGGGCCGCTGAAGCAGCCCAGGTAACATTAGTCCTGATAGACGGGACCTCAACCTATTCAGAAGAGGCTCAATGGCAATGGAATATAGCTGTCCAGAGATAGGACATCCCTGTCTGATGCCTCTCTGGACCTGAACTGGACAGCTCAGCGCGCCCCCCACCTCCACCAGACAAGTAGCCTCCTTGTACATCAAACCCAACAGTGACACAAACCCTTCACCAAAACCAAAAGCTCTTAAAGTGGAAAAAAGAAAACTATGATCAACCCTATCAAAAGCCTTCTCCTGGTCTAATGATATAACCCCAACATCAATATTATACAGTTTACAAAGGTCCAACAAGTCTCTCATGAGAAAAATGTTATCCATGATGGATCTGTCCGGTACGCAGTAAGACTGGTCTCTGTGAATTATAGACTCCAGAAAGTTCTTAAGACGGTTGGCGAGCACCTTGGAAAGAAGTTTATAGTCTGTGCATAACAACGCCACCGATCTCCAATTCTTCAGTAAGGACAAATCTCCTTTTTTGGGTAACAGTGATAATACTGCATGCCGACATGTCGTCGGTAACAGGCCTGCCTGTGAACACTCCTGCAGCACCTCCCACAGGTCGGCTCCCAAACACTTCCAGAAGTGTTTATAGAAGTCCGCAGGCAGTCCGTCCAGTCCAGGAGCTCTCCCAGCAGCCATCTGACCCACAGCAGCGGTCAGCTCCTCCAGGGAGATGTTGGCGTCCAGGACAGCTCTGTCCTCGGGGCCCAGCTGAGGAAGGTCCTGAAGCAGCTCGTCAACACTCTCTATGTGGTTGTCCTCCTTCCTGAAGAGGGCGCTGTAGAAGCTTACGGCATGTTGTCTCATTTCAATCGGGTCAGTCGTCATCTTACCATCAGGGAGGCGGAGACACACCATTTGTTTGGTCCGAGAGACGGACTTCTCCAGAAGAAGTAGGAGCATCCATGTCCCTAACACTGGTGAACCTTGACCTGACCAAAGCTCCTTTAGCTGGTTCCTGTAGAAAGGAGCCTAGTTGCTGCTTCTTCTGTTGAAGCCTGTGAGTGTCTGTGCTGGTGTGAGTGAATAGACTGTGCTCTAAATCCCTGATTTCATTTTCTAGATCCTCAATGACCCTTTTGACTATTACTGTGGAGTGACTTGTATATTGTTGAACAAAGACACGTATACATGTGCCTTTCCTACATCCCACCACTGACTCAGGGACTCAGAGTCGCTCTTCTTTTCTCTCCAGATTCCCCAGAAAGCCTCAAACTTTTCACAGAAATCACTGTCCTGCAGCAACTTAATGTTAAAGTGCCAGTAAGAGCTGCATTTGGTGGTTGGTGAGGTGTGAACATCTAAAGTGACGAGGTGATGGTCGGTGAAGAGAGAGTTGTTTAATGTCTCCCTGTAGTTGTTTAGTGTCTGTTTGTAGTTGTTTAATGCCTCTTTGTAATTGTTTAGTGTCTCTGTGTAGCTGTTTAGTGTCTCCTTGTAGTTGTTTAGTGTCTCTTTGTAATTGTTTAGTATCTCCGTGTAGTTGTTTAATGTCTCTCTTTAGTTGTTTAATGTCTCTTTGTAGTTGTTTAGTGTCTCCTTGTAGTTGTTTAGTGTCTCTTTGTAATTGTTTAGTGTCTCCGTGTAGTTGTTTAATGTCTCTCTTTAGTTGTTTAATGTCTCTTTGTAGTTGTTTAGTGTCTCATTGTAGTTGTTTAATGTCTCTCTTTAGTTGTTTAATGTCTCTTTGTAGTTGTTTAGTGTCTCCTTGTAGTTGCTTAGTGTCTCTTTGTAATTGTTTAGTGTCTCCGTGTAGTTGTTTAATGTCTCTCTTTAGTTGTTTAATGTCTCTTTGTAGTTGTTTAGTGTCTCCATGTAGTTGTTTAATGTCGCTCTGTAGTTGTTTAAACAACTACAGAGACATTAAACAACTACATGGAGACACTAAACTACAAAGAGACACTAAACAACTACTGTACATGGAGACATTAAACTAAAGAGAGATATTAATGTCTCTGTGTAGTTGTGTAATGTCTCCATGTAGTCTTCACTCTCTCAACATTGTTTAATCATCCATGAAATGACCAGTGTGTGTGTGTGTGTGTGTGTGTAAGTGTGTGTGTGTGTGGGGGGGTGTTAGTTAGACTAATATTATTCTAAACTGTTGACCGAGACGGCTGAGAGCTCCAGCTAATACCTACACACACACACACACACACACAGAGGGTGTGTTTGATTGGTCCGGTGGAGGGGCAGACTGTCTGGGTGGATAAACCAAGTGCTCCTCTCTCATTAAACAGGATCACATTTCATCAGGAAGCATCGATGATGTCACAGTTCATAGCAGTAGGTCTGTATGACTGAAGTATGAAGTTTACACGCTGATACTCAAGCAAAGTACAAGTACCTGGAGCGTGTACTTAAGTACAGTACTTACAGTAAATGTAGTTCTTAGAGCGACAACAACATTATGAAGATTATTCTGATAGAAGTGATTATTGATCGACTTGTTGCTGTTATACAATCTACCTGAGAACTAAAGACAGACAGAGAGACAGAGGGACAGACAGACAGACAGACACAGAGCACACACAGACACACACAGACACAGAGACTCTATGAGGATCCATGAGGACCTGTGAGTCCACAGAGACTCTATGAGGACCTGTGAGTCCACAGAGACTCTATGAGGATCCATGAGGACCTGTGAGTCCACAGAGACTCTATGTTTTCAATCGTGGATCAAACTCTGGAACAATAAAGTTTTATCTCATTGTCCCTCTAAACCACGTTGGTGGTTCTATAGTCTGGATTTTGTGTTGTTTGTCTCCCTCTGCTGGCTGAGACACGTCTCTGTGTCTCATCACATGTTTAACATCATATATATATATACATATATACACATATACATGTATATATTGTTGTGTGATTGGTTGGAGCTTCATATTAGATCTTTAAAGAAGTATAAAAACACATCTGAGGACTACAAGGGGACAGGAAGTGTCTCCTCATATAGCTGTGTGTGTGTGTATGTGTGTGTGTGTGATGTGGTCACTGAAATGCTATATAGGTCCACACACACACACATGAAACCTGTCATTTCTCTCCACAAACCTAAAGATTAATATTTTTCTGGAGGAACTCAGAGTCCTAAAATATTCAGTTTTTAACAGAGACGAAGAGGGCGGAGCCTCTGATGTGATCTGTGAGACACAAAGGAGACGCGTCCTCATCCTCCTGACTTCAGTCAAACATCGTTCTTCTCTGTGGATTATTTTGGTTTTAGCGTGTCTACAGTGGCCCCGCCCACCAGGTGAGAACCAATCAGAAACTAGTATTCATTAATGAGCTCATCAATGGATCTGACTAATTATGTTGGACAGGCTAACGGATCCCATTAACATACAGTCATTATGCTAAGCTAGGCTATCCTCCAAGAAGCTGCAGGGTAAGATTTGCTTGTTATATCTGATATAAATCATTTCATAATATATACAATATTTAAAATGTGAAAAAGAATGAGAAATTAAATATTTAATAGTAAAATAACATGTCTCAGGTGTGTCTCAGGTGTGTCTCGGTGTGTCTCAGGTGTGTCTCGTGTGTCTCAAGTGTGTCTCGGTGTGTGTCTCGGGTGTGTCAGTGTGTCCCAGTGTGTCCCAGTGCAGGAATAGAGGACAGGTGAGCTCTCCTGTTACAGACTCTGTGATATATGTTTGTTTCATCTTGTCGCAAAACAAACCTCTAGGAGACACCTGGAGACGCTCACCTGGAGACGCTGCTGCAGTCTGTGTTTCTGCTCGGCTGTTTGCTGAGTTTCATTTCTTCAGCTCCAGTAAGAAGTTTGTTATGATTCATCATGTTTATATATATATATATATATATATATAAATAAACACACATGTCACATGACAACACGTCACATGACATCGAGTTCTTTCCCCTGATCCCGCCCCCTTTGTCCAGCTTCCACCTCCTGGAGAGGGGCGTATCCACCAGAGGATGGGGCGGGGCTGACGATAAAGTGGGCGTGGCTGCTGGAGGAGAACTGATCGATGACATGCAGGACACAGTGGGGCCGACCTTTGGTGACCATGGAAAGGAGACGGGGCTAGAGCTGGGGCTGTGACAGAGGCCCCGCCCATCTGTCAATCATTAATCAATGATCTAATCACACCTAACGAGGATCAATCAACCAATTTATGATCTAATGTGGTGAAGAGCGACTACATCATCAGCTGGTCATAACATTTAGCTTCTCTGTGATTGGTTCAGTGGTCCTGGAGGAGGCGTGGCCTATTATTATTTAGGGTTAAATATTTAAAAACATTTTTAAACTGCTCAGAATAATAATAAAAATTCTATCAACAATGATAGTAAAAACTACATTATTAATAAGAATATGAATAATAATAACACTATTAATAATATTAATAATGTTACTCTACATTATAATGTGTCCAGTGTTTATTCTGCTGTTTATGAATCAATATTTAAATAATAACATAATATTAATAATATATTAAGAATAACATGATATTATTAATACCTGCAGCTTTAAATCTCAACAAAACATGAATTTATTTTGACAAAAAAAAACGTTAAACAATAAAATGTTTTGAAAAAAGAAAACTCCTGTAGGTGACGTGTCACTTCCTGTCAAGTGCCCAGTGTCCAATCAGAGGTCACACAGCGAGAGTAACCCACAATCCTTTGCTCTGGCTCGATGAGCCTGTGACGATCACATCCACAGAAACCTTTGTTATCGTCTGTGATGTCATCGAACCGGCTCCACTGTTCAACCAATCAGCTGCGAGCTCACGAGTCACAAATACAGCATCCAATCAGCTTCCTCCTCTCCACCCGTCAGTCAAAGTCAAGGGTGGTTGCCATGGAAACTGGCGTCTCAAAGAGAGATGTGTCACATCCTGTCCTGGTGACATCACTTCCTCTGGGCGGAGCCTTTGTGGAACAGGTAGATTGGCCGCTGATTACCTGGAAGAACGCACCAATCAGATCACACATTAGAGGGGACACCTGTGTGTGTGTGTGTACCTGTTTATGTGTGTGTACGTACCTGTGTGCGTGTATACCTGTTTGTGTGTGTGTGTCTGTACCTATTTGTGTGTGTACCTGTTTATGTGTGTACCTGTTTGTGTGTGTGTGTGTCTGTACCTATTTGTGTGTGTACCTGTGTGTGTACCCATTTGTGTGTGTGAACCTGTGTGTACCTGTTTGTGTGTACCTGTTTGTATGTGTGTGTACCCATTTGTGTGTACCTGTCTATATGTGTGTGTACCTGTTTGTATGTGTGTGTACCTGT